CACTGATGAAGGCTACATTCACTTTAGTGCCCTGTGATTGTCTGTCTTTTAATGTCAGCCCTATGATAAACTGGGAACCTGTCCAGGTTGTATCCCGCCTCTCACCCAGTGTCAGCTGGGATTGGCTCCAGCGCCCCATGACCCTACTCAGGATAAGCAGTATAGAAAATGGATGGATGGACAAACACTACTGTAAATGAAATGTGTAATAGTCATAGTTTTTAAAGCCCCTTTGTTTTTTAAACATTTTTAAATATTACTGTTTATACTGTAGTTCTACAAATGTAGGGTATGTTTTTCACAGAAAATGTACATGCAAGATAATAACAGATTTTTATTTTGTTGATTTGAGTTCGGAATCACCAATGGAGCAGTAGTGTCCAGGCCAATCCCTTTCCAATGTTGTATTGAATGCCATACCATTTAGGAAACTAAAATAGAATAAAAGTAGAGTAAAAATAGAATAAAACTAAACGGTGCAACCTAATAGGCTATGACTCAAACCATGTACAATCAGTGACAGTAGTGCAAATAATAAGGAGATTGTCAGATGGTTGTGAGATTGAGATGCACATGGACAGTAGTAAAAATGACCAACAGCAGCAGATACGACGGTAAAAGCAGTCACAACAAGAAGGGGGAATGTAGTGGGTTTGTGCAAAACAGCAGAGGTAGTCTTTTTATGTTCTGTGGTGGGTTACAGACCAGGGGCAGAGGGGGAGAGGTAATGGACAGCGTTCAGCATCCTCACAGCCTGATGGATGAAGCTGTTTGTAAGTCTGGTGGAGTGGGCCTGAAGACTTTGATACCTTGTCCCTGAAGGCAGGAGTCTGAAGTGGGAGTGTGTGGGGTGGGAGGTGTCATCAGCAATGTTGATGGCTCTGCGGGTGAGGCGGGTGTTAAAAATGTCCGTGAGGGATCTTGCTGGCTGTATTCACTATGCGTTGCAGAGTCCTGCTGCAGGAGGCAGGACAGCCTCCGTATCATACAGTGATGCAGCCAGTGATGACACTCTCAGTGGTGCCCCAGTAGAAAGAGCGCATGATGGGGGTTGGGACACTAGTACTTGATGAGGAAAATATTTATTTTAGAAGAATTGTATATATTCACTCAGTAGTTTGCTAATATGATCTACTGTACCAACTTTACTGAATGGAAGACAGAAAGACTGGTGCTGTAACCAACAGCTGCATCCTTCAAGGACAGATGGTGTGTCATGGCATGTGCCAGCCCTGTTTGACCATATTTATATATAGCCACATACTGAGGACTGGATAATTTATCTTATTTAAGAGTACTCTTAAAATTTTTGCACATATTTTGTGTTAAATAATTTCATAAGAAATTATTCACAGTGAGCTCCTGCAGCTCTGTTGTGGGTTTAAAGATTTATTTAAGTTGGTGAGGCTGTTAAAATACATTTGGGTGTCTGTTCTCATGTGTCCCAGTCCAGGCTGTTGTCAAAAATATTGCTTGCACGTACATTTGCAATAAAAGGTGATCTGAGCAGGTTTTAAGGCAAACAAAATTTTTATGTCAGAAGGAGCAGCAAAACTACACCACACTTCCTAATCAGCATAAAAACGACCTCATCTGTGCTTCCTGTCCCACCTCAGCGTAAGATCAGTCATTCATGGCAAAAAAAATACCAAATGCACCAATAATAAATAAATAAATAATATAAACTTGCACCCAAAGAAAGCTGCATAAGGGTTGCATTTGAAGCTATGCCAGCTTTGCACTTGCAGGAAAATAAAGCCCTTAGTGAAGGACAATCAATTATGGATGCATATCTCAAATATATCAAAAAGACTTGGGGAATTTTTTTTATGCTATGTTTCAATGTATGTTTTTTCAAATATTTAACAACAGAATATTTTTCAAGAGCTGGACCGAATTGGGTGTGGCCACATTTGCTTCCTGCTAGTTTGTCAGGAGTTATGTTTTATGAATTAAAATGTCAAACGTCAGCACAGTTTTATAAATGACCACAGGGTGCTGCTGTTGGTTCCCAATTTTCACTAAAAACTATAGACTTCTGGACACCCTTTGGCCAAAACTCTCCACCAAATTTCTTCAAGCCTTTTTATTGTTTCTGAGACACTATGAGCTAACTATGAGCTGGAAGTACACTGCTTAGATCCTTATTATTATTATTATTTTATTTGCATTTCATCTAAATTCATTGTCTTTATTTATATTCCTAAATTTTAATAAAACAAAACAAAGGCAGTAAAATTGTAATGTATATGTAAAAATACATTTGTAGGTGCAAACTATGAAAATTTACTTTTTGATTTACAATTGTTGTACTACTTTTTTGCAAAAAAAAAAAAAAAAAAAAAAAAAAAAAAAAAAAAAAAAAAAAAAAAAAAGCCTGTGGCTAACTTTAACTGGTTAAAAAATGGTTTGTTTTGAAGGTGAGGCTGGGTATCAGTATATGCATGTCAGTTTAATTCAATATCCTCTGCAACGATTCAATATCCTTTAAAGTTTTGTAATATAAATGTATGTAACTGGCATTGCCTAAATTTATTTACAGCTGTTTCTAAGGTTCAAAGGATCTCCTCCCCTGCATATGACTATGACAGTGTTGGGCTTCCCGTCAGAGTGGCATCTAGAGGTAGAGTATCACATAAGTCTGATTCATGGTGTTGCTTATATATAAAATCTATTTCAGTTGTATAAGAAAATGTTACAAAATTGTATGAAAAGTGTGGTAATTTCTTATGTTGTAAAAATATTAGTTGCCCTTGATTTGAGTGAAAAAAAGCAATTGTAAAAGAGTATTAAAGACGCCTGTGAGCACAGATTAGCCCTAAAATACATTGTTGTGGTGTGGGAAGGGCATCCTTTTATGAAGGTTTTTATTCCCTATTCCCTCACGTACTTAAATAACAGATCATGACTTCATACAAAATAAGCAAACCAGCCAAACAATGTTCCATGTAAAGGTTTGTGAAAACATAAATGTAACCTGTAGTTAGTTAAACTGGAGTTGTGAGTGCAACCTTTTTATTTTCAGGACAAGAGTTTCCACCTGCTGCATGTTGCATCTGTGTGACTCTGTGTGTCTCTTCTAGCTCCTGTTAACCACAGGTTCTTGCTAAAAACTAAGAATCAGTCTCTTCCACTATGCTTTGATGTTCGTGGCGATTCCCGGCTGAAACTTCTTCACCTTCCCAACAGTGGTCAGTAATGTTCCTTTTTGTGCATTTTCTGTCACATCCTTAAGCAACAGAGCCAATGAACTCCTCTTATTTTGCCTTTTGCTCTTTATGTATAATAGAAAAATGTTATTCTTCTTTTGTTATCAGAATCTTAGTTATATAGTGTATATCAGCAGCCATATTTATATCGTAATGGTGGTGTTAATTTGTGTTTCTTCTCTTTTCTATTAGAGCTGCTTGTGAGCGGTAAACTTAATACAGTAACTGAAGGCTTCGAAAGGATTGTCATCCGCTTCAAATTTGACAAGTATGTTGCGATTACCGCCGATGAAATCATTGCACAAGGACTGAGACGTACACGTCACACTGGACAGGATCCCATCCTACTTGGAAGGTGATTCCATTGTAATGTTCAGGAACTACACTACTATGATACTCAGTTATGTGCACAGATGTGTCAGAGTGACTCCTAGATGAAAGGATCAACTCTAGTTTTGTGTCCATACACTTTCAAATCAAATCAAATCAGTTTATATAGCGCTTTAAAAACAATGTCTGGTTGACCAAAGTAATTTACAAGGACAGGTAAGAACTAAACTTTGAAGAATCTACGAGCAGCAGCTGTCCAACTTCATCTACATCGCTGTGGTCAACCAAGAATCACTTCATCACATTACCACTTGTAAAACAGGCACACTATGGTTTTTGTGTAAAATACATGAGATAGACTGTACTAATTAGTGAGCCTTGGGCAGCCATTGCTACCTGTGAGCTATGACAGCTGTTTCCCCCTGTTTCTGGTCTTCACGCGAAGCCAAACTTCATATTTACTTTACTGGCATGAGTGGTAGTTTTTTCATCTGCCTTTCAGCAACAGGCATATTTTTTGACATGAAATTTTTTTTTTAACTTCTGGTGTGACATTAGGAGACAAATGAAACACTGAAGTGTCCAGTTAAAGCACAGATATACAATATTCTGATGTACAATATTCATGTTTGAACAAAATGAGCTCTGAAATCAAACGTGGCAAAGGCGGCCGCAACCGCCACTCATCACTGATCATAATTCATCATTAATTCACTATTATAAACCAGTGTAAACTGATATTTACAGCTGTTGACACAAGGCCCTGCACACCCATGCTACACCCACATAGCTGAAATGATTTATTTTGGATAAGATCTCCTCTAAGGAGTGTGTCGGTGTGTGCAGACTGTGTGTGACTGACATCTCCCCCACTCTCCTGATGGCTTTGTTGTGCCTGCCAGGGTGGGACAAGTGACATGTTATGTCCAGTGTTATGTTATGTTAAGTGATATGACCCAGGTGGGTGTGCAGGGCCTTTCAAAAAGAAAGAAAGTCAAGACAAGGTGTTTTTTTTTTCCCCCTAGCATGACAGTGATTAGGCGAGGCAATGAAATAAATGTTACGGCTGAGGGCACACACCTCATCATCTTAGTTCATGAGAAGAACAGTAAACAATTCCTCTGGCCATTGTTAAGAGAGCAGCCATCAGACAACAACGCTGAAGGAATTTTAGGTGAGTAAAATGCCAGATATGTTTGAATGCATGACTAGGAAAATTGCTTCATTTGCTTGTGTGATCTAATATCAGGTAAATGATATATTGCATTTTAAGTTTGGGTGTATTTGTTTTACACTTATTCGTTACCTCTGCTTAAATTAAAAAAAACTGAAATAAACATTATGTTGTCTTAAAAAAAAATCCAGGATTAAGGCTCTTTTTTAATTTTACTCTAAATGATTTTTGGGATGAAGACATTTAAACCTAATTTGAATACAAATTTCCTAAATTTGGACCCCTGTGTGTGTGTGTGGTTGAAAATTGACCTCAGGTTGCCAGATTCTTGGGAAGATGAAGATTTTCTGACTGTTTTGTTAAATAAATGTTGCACCCATGTGAGAAATTATTCATTAATAGAGACACATATTGTGTGCTGTCTCTAAGCTTCTCAGAGTCATTGATTTATTGTTTGTTGTCTCTGTGCCCAGCTGTAAAACCAGCAGTTTATGAGGAGATACAGCACCCTTCCTCCACAAAACTTAAAATCAAAGACCAGGAGATTGACGTTTCCAGGTATTTTGCTCTGTATTATTAGTTGATGTAAAAAGAGAACTGATTGAAATTGTAATAATAACTATTATTCTGACTCTAGACATATAACCATTTATGAATTTCTTTTGTAGATCCAGTGCTGCTGACTACACTTCTTTACCTCCATTGGTAGAAAACTGCTGGCTCATGTCTCCCGGGTCGGCCCTGTAGAGAAGACTGCGTGATTTCATCATTTCTTAGCTGTAACTGGGACCTATGTTAAATCACTTGAAAAGATTTAATTTGAAAGCAAAATAGGGGAACTAGTAATTCATCATAGAGAAAGACTTTCCATCTGTTACCAACATGAACAAATAAATCACCTCATAGATCTGTGGTTGTTTTTACCTTAATTACTATTTATCTACAGGATTTGTCTGTTTCACTTTGTTTAGAATATATATTACTTCCAAATTTAAGAATTTTATAAAAAATCTAATATTTACAATATAGTGGCATTTGTTTTACAACACCAAACAGCTCCATATAACATTCAACCTACAGTCTCTTCCAAAATGACCTGAATGCACTGAGCTGTTAATAATAGGCATCAGTTTTACTTGTACAGCTGCCACTGAGCAAGAGGCGGTGTCGACCCTGGGCAGGTTGTCAGTCCATCACAGGGTTGACATGTAGACAGACAATCACACACACCACACTCACCCCTAGGGGCAATTTAGAGTCATATCTGCTGCATGTCTTTGGATTGTGGGAGGAAGCTGGAGTACCTGGAGAGAATTCACGCAGGCACACACATGCTGTGTTTTCATTCTTGGTGGGGACTTTACATTGACTTACATTCATTTTCTATACACTTATCCTAACTTTAACCATAACCACTACTTGCCTAACCCTAACCCTGACCCTAACCTTAATCCATGTTAAGCCACCTTAAAATTCAGTGATTTCAGTAGAGGCTGAATCCTCACACTCAGGTTGTTAACAGGTTTCAGTCTACATAATGTAAGTAATACATAGGCAGGGAGAGGCACCAGGTTGGCTGGGGCTAGAACCTGGAACCTGCTTGCTGTGAAGTGACAGCACTAGCCACTATGCCGTCCCTCAATTTTACTTGTTTATTATTAATATAAAATTAAAAAGTCAAAATAGTATAATTAGAAACAAACTTCTTTTTCATATATTTGACTGTACCATCAAACAAAGAATGCAACAACATTAACCTGCCACCCTGCACATGTCTGTTTATCCCCAGTGAAGACCAAAAATGAAAGCAGTGGAATGTTTCCCTTTCTCTTTATGTTATATAATACTGTGAAGTAACACCCAGGCTGCACATTTAGTTTTCTATATTTGTCTACATGTAGCAGTTTTTAATATTTGAGCAACCTGAGGCAAATCAATAATGGAGAACATTCTTTGAAATTTGCCAGTAAATTCAGCAAAGTGAAGGAACTGTAACCGAAGCACATAGAGGGAAAAAGCATAATGATATATATTATAACACACGACTGTGGAAAAGTAGACCCTTCAAATTTTATACTGGCAACACCATATAAAAAAGATAATAAAAGAGTTTTTAAAAATTATTCAGAACTTCAGTTAAATACAGTTTAAGAGCATCTGTGATCATTTTGGTGCAACACATGCACAGTAAACAGCAGAACATGTTCTGCTGTTCTTACTGCTGTTTCTTACTGTTTATTTATGCCTAACAAGGCAACTGATCATGTGTCAATATATGAAATACTAACTACAGAAGCGAGTGTTGTGGAGTGGAACAGTCACGCCAGTTTAACAAAGTACACAGTAGATAGTTGTTTTTACGCCAGTTTAACAAAGTACACAGTAGATAGTTGTTTTTACTCTTGTTGAAGACATTTCCAAAGTATTAACATTATGTGGTCGAACCAGTCAAGCTGCTGTGTGAGCCCAGTTTCATTATGTTGCATCGCCGATTGTTCTCTTTCAATGGAGTGAATTGTTATCACAGGTCAGAGGTATGTGCATTCTACTGAGCAGAGGTGATAAACTTGTTTGTCAAGGCACAGTGTACATGGAACTGTAGAACGAGGAACCTTTACCAAATCCACATAACAAGACAAAAATGTATAACAAATTGCTGCTAACAAACTGGCTGAGAAGTATTAACTACCTTTTAACTGCAGCTTTGTGGAAAAAAATGACTTTAACCCAGTGTTCAAGGTGGAGTCTTGTTTTGGTTAAAGAAACAGCTGCAGACTTTGACCCAGCTAGATCGTGCTGGTTACACTGTAATGAAATCAAGAAGTTTCAGGATTATTCATATTTCAACACAATATGGGGCTGTCCTGACACTAAATCAGAGACCAGCAGAAAGAAAGAGAGAGACATGCGGGGGAGAGAGAGAGAGGGAGGGGCGTCTCCTGAGTCAGGACAGTGACATGCAGTATGGTGCAATGTGTACATGGCTCAGACACTTCCAGGCTACTTTGACAAAGTGGAGGGTTGAATATGTCAGTAAACGCAGTAAGTAAATTGATGTCATTTCTAATGTTACATTTAATATTATTGTATTTACTATATGTATCAGTGGTGTTTGTTGCATAATGCTTGAAGGGACTTTCCGGTTCCCAGTTATTACATCTATTAAGGGATCTGTAAACCTGACAAATCATGTTAGTGCTACCCTAGTAAACTATGGAGGATAGTTTGTATCCAGATTTGTTCATGAAAGAAAAACGGTCACATTAATTTTAGTCTCTTCTTCCCCAGGTCGTAAACAAAGGCAAAACCCAGGTAACAACCACTGCAGTCATCTGACAGGTTGTCTCGACTCACTGCCCGACATACCTGCGTGCAGTTTCTGCTAAGATATCACCAAGTTAATCTTCAACCTAGAGCCATGATGGGGAGAAAAACACCTGACTCATTTAACAAGGTTTCCATGCCGCTCCTGGAGAAAGACATGTGCAAAAGAATGCTGTAGGACCGAAATCTGCCTGAGGTGTCTGAAGGAAAATGTTTCTTCTTGGATGGTTCATTTGGTGGATTTTATCCACTCTTCACATGCCAGGCTGTGGTTTGCAGATTTCTGGATATGACAGCGATGAAGTCATTTGCTCACAGGTACAGTAGGGTACATTGCATGGTTACAGTGACGCATACATTTCCTGTGCTTGCAGTACAGTGCAAAGTGTTTATGTTGACTGATTACACTTTTAATTTCCTTTTGGGACTGGTGAAGCCTATTCTGACATTTTAATTTCCCCTTTCACTGATTAAATGTTTTACTTTCAAACATTTAATTAAAAGCGCACAAAGGTTTACATCTAGCTGCCAATTTACCACAATATAGGGTTGTTTGATGTATCCCAATATCAGCCTCTGAACAGCAAATATTTGCTGCCCAAACTCATTCACTAAGATACAAAGTAGTTTTCTCATTAATTTTGCCTCCTTGCCTTCAAGGGTCTCTCTGAATGCGTCATGAAAGATGTGATGCCTATTCCTGCAGAAAAAGATGATGCTGTGGAAGTCCAAAACCTGAAGCCATATGTCAAACTCTGCTGCAGCAACAGCACTAAGCTGTGTACATTGTGTCTGGTGATAGACACTGAGCTCTATATCAGTCCAGATAAGGACATGCAGGACACAGACCACTCTGGGTTTGATGACGAAACAAGGAATGCAGAAGGTACAAACTTCATGCCACGCACTGGGATGTTATTAAAAGACCATATTGGCTAAACAGTCTACTGTTTGGGTGAATGAACAAACACTGGCTGCTGTGAAAAAAGTGTATTTTGTTGTGTTTGTGTAAATGGTTGTACTGTGGGTTTGGAAGTGATTATTTCTATGACTGTAAAAGTTGCTGTTGCTGTTTCAGTCCCTTTTAACCCCACCTCTGCTGTGTTTTCTCTGTTGCAACAGCATTTCTAAAAATGTGTTATCGTGCAGAACCTAACCTGCCCATATGCAAGAAGGTGGAGTTTACAATCAATCACACAGCTATTAGTCAGCAAAACAAGGCAAAGGTACCGTAGACACTGTAGTACAATATAAACGGTACAGTCAATAGGGATATATTGTATGCTCATTTTCAGCTACCTTACCTTATAAATTGTGTGTATGTGACTTCTACAGATGTCCATGGTGATCGTTAATCCAGATGGGATTTTCTTCAGTAGTCAAGTGTTTGTTTATCCTTCTAAATCAAAGTTATTTCAAGAAGTTCGTGCTCCATCTCAAAATGAAGGTAATGTTTGGGTTTTTTTTTCCAGTTTAAACCACAGACCATCTAATGAACTCATACCTGACTAGGCTACTATAGGTGTGCAACAGTGCTTGACACATATTGTTTTACTGTCTGTCTTCAGTGTGTCACCAGGAGCTACAGGGACGTGTAAAAATGTGTCCTGGTAAAATAAATAAATAAATATCCACATAATATTTTTTTTTTTTTGTTTTCCTTGTGACAGTTTGCATCTGGATTTCTCTATAATAAACTTTTTTTTTTTCTAGGTTCAGGCCCCGAGCTCAGCTTTGTGTATCAAAAAGAGATGAACTGTGTGGAGCTGCAGTTTGCTTACAGGAACAAGAGCCTCCCTTATGTCTGCATCCAGTATGAGCAGAATGGGACATGTCAGGTCAGTGTTATCAGTACCTACAGTTTTAGAACTTACAGTTTGTCTGTGTCTGGGCCAGGCATTCAAGCAAAGCAAAAACATGATTGCAAGTAAAAGTCATGCATAAGTAAATATTATCAGCATATTGTAGCTATAAACATAGTATGTAGAGTGTTACATTACTATACATATCATATCACTGCATTAAATGTATTCACATATAAGCAGTTTTTTTTTATTGTAGCTGTAGCTGGTAGTGCTAATTTTAACATATTGTTGGTTAAAGGATTAGTCTGACCATTCATTATTATAAAGGGGGTCAGAGCTAGGCCTGGTTCCAATCTTTATGCTCAGATAACCAGGTGCCAGTTGTAGCCTTGCATTTAACAGACAGGTAACAGAGTGGTCTTCTCACTGAACTGTTTTCCAAAATGTCCAGTGCATCATATTTTATAAGCTGATAATAAACTATAATGATTATAATACTGTGTTAAATCCATAGTAGCAGCTGTCAAATAAATGTAGTGGAGTGAAAAGTATTTCTCTCTGAAATGTTACTTTATAGAATTGGAGCAGTTCAACCGTCCCACTGTTTTCTGTGACCCCCTGCATGTGTTTCAAGGTACTATCACATACACAACACAACTATTTAGTTACTGCCTGACATATCAACACTGCATACAGATTTATATAACTGACGCGTTTGTGGATTTTAGGTGTGGGATGAGGATGATGACAGGTTTATGCACTTTCAACACTGCCCGTTCACAAATAAAGGTGAGAAGTCTCCACAGACTTTTAGCTTCACTTTACAGATTAGTTTATCAGTTGTATTCTGATGTTTCCTATTCCAGATGTCTTCCAAAAAAACGTGTGGCAGAACATGACAGTGTCTGTAAGGCAGGGTCAAATGAAAAACAATGGCGGAATGCTGTTGTGGAACCTGTCTGCCCCCTGCAGGCTGGAGGGTGAAGTGTGGCCCTGTCATAAAGAATTCAGCTGCACTGAGATAGAGGGCTTAAGACAACAGCTGGCAACGGGCACATGGAACCAAAACAGCAAAGGACTCTGGGTAAGGGAAACTTAATGAGGCCGGTTTTTGTTTTAACCCTTTAACATCCAAATGTTTGTGCTTTATGTTTTCAAAAGTTTTTTTATTCTGCACAGTCTGATAGTATCACATATATAACTTGTGTCATCCGGTTTCAGCCCTTTGTTGAAGCTTTATACGTTTACACCCTTTACAATGAGTGAAATATCCATGGTTTTATGGATGAACTTATTAAATATTTCATATTAAAATTTATTTCTGTAGGGCTGAGCAATGTCTGGCTGCACAGCATGTTTAAGAAACTACTAAGATTTACAACTTTGTTCTCTTCAGGAGAAAAGGGGGGTGTTTGAAGACATCAGCCTTAAGCCTTCATCATGTGTTATGGTAAGGTATTCCGACCTGTCAGCCAGTGAGTCTCACAGTATAAATTACTGAAGCTAAATAACTCATTCATGTTAATCCATTTATGCAGGTGAAGGTAATAGGAATGGGACATGAGCTGGGTCCATTTTGTTTTAAGAAAAGTAAGTGTGACACAATGTACAACTCCAGAAAGTGATGCTGGCTGGGGCATGGCATACTTTATATTCAGTACCTGTTACTTGAGCTTTTTATCAAAGAGATTTTATTTGACACTACCCTCAGCTGACAGGTGGCGCTGGAATCTCCTGATTGTTGGTGTTATGCTGCTGGTTTGCTTGACTGCGCTCATGTTTTATTTGCTTCGTGCCTCTGTCAAGAGTAAGTTATATTTACTTCTTTCCTTTTGTATTAAGTGTATTAAATATGTACGAATAGCAGGAAAAACTTAGAGAATTTGAGGAAGACAGAACACTGTCTAATTTCTTTTTACTTCCCACAAAGGCTTCCTTCACTCCCTTTAACAACCAAATCATGTTTGCCATATTATTTATAATGTTTATGCACTCACAGATGCATTTTACCCAAAGGGATCAATTACTCATGGCACTGAAATGATAAATGTCCTTCTGGTAAGCCCTCACATATATTTGTCTTAATTTTCTATCATTTATAGAATGGGTGCTGAGATGGCATTATGATGAAGAGAGTGAGTTGTTTTGTACTTTTCCTAAAAGATACTTGCATGATAGAACAAGGCACCTTTGTAACATTCATCTTATTGTTTTTCCTCTCTAAAGTTGTTAAAGAGGTTTGTGTGGTGCTGTTGAGTCCCCCAGATGTGGATGATGATGTTTCAAAGTCAGTTGATCAGCTCAACTCTCTGCTCTGCAACCGTGGCTTCAGTGTGTCTGTGGACCAGTGCTATGGTTGCATGCCCAGCTGTTGGAGCCAAACACCCGAGTTGTGCTTGTTGTGACCCACAAATCTTTGGAGAGAACTGAGGAATGGGCCCATCAGCACAAGGAGGTTGTCACAGAGGACAAGAGTCTGCCTGAGAAATGGTCCCCTTATGCTGATGTGTTCACAGCAGCCCTTAATATCATACAAGGGCACAAGCAGCTGGGCGGAGCTGGAGAACGCTTTATTCTGGTGAAATTTGATACCCATCTACACAGTCACAGGAATCTACCAAAGCTTCTTCAGGGGCTGCCTCTGTTCAAGCTTCCCTCTCAGACTGAGGCTCTCCTAGCTGAGCTGAGGTCCCGTGGAAGAACATGGATAGGGTGGAAAAGGAATGTCTCAGACAGATGGCAAGCAAAGACTGAAAAGGGACCAGAGCAGCAGAAGATATATTAATATCATGAAGCTGAAAAAAACTTGGAGGCAACTCTCCTGTAAGACATCCAGAAATATCATGATGAACATTATTGGTGCCCTCTACATATGAAGACCAAGTTCATCCAAGTCATGGATGAGATAAAGATCCAGCACATTTAGAAAGTGCTAATGCTGCAATTTGTAGGATTGTTTTTAATATGATTGCCTCAAAATAAATGGAAGTGTTCATGTTCAGTGTTATGAGGGGATATGAGCAAATGTTTCCAGTTTGTGCTTGTCAAGGCTCAGTGGTTGTTCCTTTAGTCTATGTGGCTCAAGGAGTAAGATACCACAGTGTCTTAAACACAAAACAGTTATAAATGAAAGTTAACATATGGCTTATGGAAAGCCTGGAAATGTCAGTATATATAATTTATATATAGTTTATGTGTATATGTGTGTATTGTATGACATTTTGCACTTTTTAAAACTGATACTGCACAAATGCTGAATTTTATATCAAGGACCACAATGGAAGTTAGTTGTGGATTTGTTGTCTTGACATCTTGCAGTCACCATGTCATAATGAGAAAAGGAAAGTCCTCCAGTGAATCAGTGTGGCTCACTGATCTGGTTCCAGCTGTTTTTAGACATCAGTGAAGGTACATCAGGTATTAGTTGATTAGAATCAGTTCATTGTTTCTGGTGTATGTTAAACCATAAGAAAAATATCAAACATGACCAGCTTTATTATTTAAGTTGCTTTAAATTATGAACCTATAATTCTGCAGGGTAATTAGATCCATGTACTGTCAGTCTGTCCGCCCTTGTCTATAAATAAATGTGCTTGTTTCTGTGCGTGACCGAGATATGATTGGCCGTCTAACAACGCAGGGATGTGGATGTGATTGGTGCAAGCAGGTCTCGGTCTAAGCACAGAGAGGAGGGCTTGTTTCATTCATTCATTCTTTGTGTTCCGGTGGGGCGGTGCTCAGAAGGTGGTGCATGCTCCGCTTGCTCGGGAGATCTGGGTCAACAGTTTGTAATAAAAGAAGTCTGGGAGTATAACAAGTGTGTCACGGCTGGATTCGCTGTCAGAGACGGTACTGTTCAGAGGCAGTGGGCGCGCTATAAGGAGGTGAAAAAAACCCTTATCTCATCTTAAGATTTGGTTGTAAGATTCACTTTAATGTAGCCTATTGTTGACTGTTCTGGAGTCAGACCGTGATCTGGTCTGTGAGAATGTGAGCCCATATGTAAATGTTAATACGTAATAAAAGTAAATAAATTACAATAAGTGTCATAGCAGGCTGTAGCATAGCAGCAGTAATGACATTACAATAAATTATCTGTGAAACAACTGCCAGGCAGAAACATCCACACAGAGCTGGATGAAGTCCTTAGACTCTTAGTTACAGTAAAAGTAGCAATACCATAATGTAAAATGCTCTAACATTTTACCTAAGCTACGTAAAAGTAGAGAAGTATTGTTGGAAAAATCAGCTTCAAAAGTAAAAGTACTCATAATGGAAAATTTTCAGAGTACAGTATTTATGTAAGAAGCATTTTAAGGCATTTTATAGATGATAAATTTTAAATAATCCATCTTATTTTATTAGCAGATCATGCGTTTGTATGTATGTAAATAATTTAAATATGGAAAATTAACTATGCATAACTATAGGTAAATGCAGTAGAGCAAAAAGTACATTTACCTTTAAAATAGAGTAAAGCAGGCCTGTATAAAGTAACATAAGTAAAGTAAGTAAAGAACAAGTACTTGTCTACAGTAGCTGCTTGAGTGAATATATCCCTGGTGCTAGAAACATCAGACCTGTTTCTTCATAATGAGAGATAACCACAATATATTGGGATTGTCCTAAAGACAGTGGCTTTTTAATCCCTCAAATACTTATGTTGACAGCAGCCTATTCAAAGTTACAGCATTATGAGTCTGACTTGCAAGCATCCTCTAACAAGCCCAGATTTGATGTTTTGATCAAGATAAACAACTTTATCTTCTGAAGCAGGCGGGACAGATGGGAGTAAGAATCAGTCACAGGAGCGTGCTGGAGGCTGCTTGGCTATGTTGTTTGCTGGCTGTCCAGCTGCACAGCTGCCCAGATACCTGTAGTAAGTGTTCAGACCCAGAAACTAACCAGTGTGAGGAATGCAGAGCAGGATGGACACTCCATAATCACACCTGTGTAGGTAATGTATGCAGAACAATGTGTATGAGGCTGGAAACCATTCGCATGGCATAAGACAAGTGGACCTATCACTGAATGTATGTTTTGATCTGTTCTATAGACATCGATGAGTGTGGCACTGAGATGAGTAACTGTTCTCCCAACAGCTATTGCTTCAATACGGAGGGTTCCTTTGAGTGCAGAGGTCAGTGGTTTAGAAGTGGTCTCAAAGGCATACTACATTATGTTTTCCTGTAGAGGTGACACTTAAATAATAATAATAAATGCTTAAATGTTGTAAATGAGCTCATTACAATTACCCGCAGCCTAAGGAGTTGTGTTTGCTTGTTCAAATATTACTCCCTGTCTCATCTGGTCTGATGGTATTTTGTAGAATGTTTCACTCATGCCGTGCATTCAGCCCATGGAGATTCTCAGTCATCCACGTCATGGCACCTTCAAAAAGTGCTCTAAGTGACAGTGGAACTTTCTTGAATTTGTTGAAGATGTTTCACCTCTCGTCTGAGAAGCTTCTTCAGTTCTGACTGGTGGGAGTCCCTGCCTCCTTTACAACCTGGGGCTGCCCACCAGTCAGTCAGACCTGAAGAAGCTTCTTGGACGAGAGGTGAAACATCTCCAATAATCTCAAGCAAGTCCAGTTGCCACTTGTAGCATCTTTAGATATACTCATATGCAGCAGTTACAGCTATTGACAATACAGTATGGGCTGTAAATGACGACAGTATGTGGTCACTCTTTCTTCAGACTGTGCCCCGGCCTGCGTGGGCTGTATGGGTGGTGGACCAGCACGCTGCAGAAAATGTGCTTCTGGGTACAGGCTGACAGACTCTAAGTGTTTGGGTAACTACAAATAAAAGAGTATTTTAAGTGTTATTTCAGTAGCATGCATTCATTCTGTACAATCTAAAGTCTCTCTCTTTCCTTTGCTCAGATGTAGATGAATGCAGTGACAGGGTACTGGCCTGTCATGGTCTGGATGAGCTTTGCATCAACACAGCAGGTTCTTACCGCTGTGACTGTGCTGAAGGATTCATCCGCAAGGAGACTGTTTGTGTGAAGAAGGAGAGGCCCAGTGAGTTTCATCATACATACAGAGGGATGTTTACACCCACACCTAACACCTAATCTCACTGCAGCCACTCACACATCTATCTGTTCCTGCAGGTGATCAGGAGAAGGGTCTGTTTGAGGATCTCCAGGATGATGAGGTGGAGGTGTTGCAGCAGATGCTCTTCGGGGTGGTGCTATGTGCTCTGGCCACCCTGGCTGCTAAGGGAGATTTGGTCTACACATCTGTGTTCATGGGAGCAGTGGCAGCCATGGCAGGCTACTGGCTTTCTGACAGGGGAGACCGTTTGTTGGACAGCTTTCTAAAGGGGCGTTAAACTTCACAACTGTTGCAAAAAGGAAAATCTTCTGTCTTCTATATAATGGAAAATTTGTTAATATGAAAATAAATAATGCTCTGAAAGATGTTTTAAAATTTTACACTTCTTTGCCTTTAAGAGAAACATTTAACAACCACCAAACCACCATGAAATAATGCAAAATTTTACGTTTTAGGACAGATTTCACAGAACAGTTACTGCTAAAAGCTGGTGTACAGTGAGTAAATCTAACAGAAAAGGTTTCCCTCTTCTTTAATGTTTGAGGACAGGTCTTAGATGCAGACACCAAAAAGATGACCATATGATGAACATTTTTGTTTTGGTTGACTATAGACAACATTTTTTATTATTTTATAATGATTAGAATTGATCATGATGCTTTCATTAGGCTATTTTTAGCAAAAGCCTGGAATGAGTGTTATATTTAGTCAAGTTTAGTTTTGACTTTGCATAATTTAAGGTCCACTGGAGATTTTTTCTTTTCTTTTTTTTTTGAAATTTTTTTAAATTGAGTTTTTTATTTTGTTGAAAGAACAAAGTTTCACAATAGATACATAACAGAGCAAAAAAAAAAAAGGAAAAAAGAAAAGGTTTTTACATAAAAAAGGAGTTTTAAGTAAGAAAAACAGTTTTACATAAAAGAACGGAGAAACAAGAACACTTAGTAACAAAGATATGGATGGGCCGGTTCATTAATTAATGTTTAAAATGATCTTTTCATTTACCATTCTAAAAAAATTAATCCAAGCTTCTTTTGAAATATTTGAGGAGCACCCCTTAGGTTATTATGTAGTTCCTTCTTCTTCTTCTAAACACATAGTTAGTTCATTTACACATGCTATGAAAGTAGGGAGCTTTTCTTTTATCAGGTTAAAGACTATACGCTTTTTGCAGCTGTCATAGTCAACCCAAAAAATGCAGATGTTTTCACAGAATTGAATTTAAGACTAGTCTGAGAAGTACTATAGATGGTGATAAATTAAGTTCTATATTTAGTACCTTTTAAGTGTGTATTCTTTAGATCTTCCAACCATCATTTTAACTTTGAGTATGACTTGTCCAGAGCTTTTTACTTGTATTTCATGTATAGTATGTCTTAAGAGTCCAAAACACTGAAACCGATGCTCTGTGTTACATACCCAAGATTCCCGTTACTACTGTATTTTGCACTGCGCCGTTGTTGTTACTGATATATTGTTTTAATGTTGAACAATAACAGAGTTACTAAATGTTAAAATACAGGTTATTTGATCATTTTTTGAATAAAGCTTTTACAAAAGTAGGGAAAACAAATACATAAAAGCATATAAAAATCATACACAGCATAGAAATGTAATTATAGAGAGAAATAACTATTAGAATGAGTTAACAAGCTAAATGTTTCATATTCTAACCACATACTATGATTCATACCAAACCAAACTAAATTACATGGCTATAAAATTGAAGCTATGAATTTGATGGAAAATTTTAATAAACATTGTACCTGTTTGTTTTACAATAGTATGCCATGTTTTTAAGTTATTGTACCATGTTTTTATTAGCACTAGAAAATACTGGATTTAATTATAAGATTTAGAAAAATACAAACAGAGACAGAAAGAAAGTCACCTTTATTTGATGGATATAAACAAGCTGGCCAACACTCACTAGTAATATTCTGATACAGCACATACTGTACAATAGCAAACTGGGGCACTGAGGACAGCCTCCTAGGTTAAAAAACAAAACAAAACAAAACAGAAAATATTACAGTTTCCATGCTTCATTCAAAACTTTTATTCAGTTTTGCTTTTTTCCCCCTTGGGATGTCCTCTGATGAAGTTTTTTTTTTTTTTTTAAATTTTTCTCTATGCATTCATAAGACACACAGACACTCATACTGACACACAGACACACCCAGAAAACAATAAATGTCATTGTGCGCACACACCCACACGTCTCTCTCTTCTGAATACATGTACACCAGCAAACCCAAAAAACATGCTGCACTCTCACAAAACTGCACAGGCTGTCTACTAAGGGGACACAGTAAGTGAGACGCACATCACTCTCAAACACAACATCACACCGTCACAATGCACGATGCAGATGCAGTTAATGTATGAGGAATGATGCTTCATGAGAGATTAGCTCACGTTCACACAAGTAATCATTCAGCATGCTGGGCGCTCACAGTTAACTTGTTCCTAGGTCTTTACTGTACAGCTCAAAACATTTACGTATACAAATAGTACAGTCTCAAACTGGCATATTAAAGAAGCTAAAACTATAGAAAATTTTAAATTAAATACAAAAATGAAAAATAAAAACTAAACAATATTTGTTCAGTCACATAAAAATGTTTCTGGCATTGGTCACAGTGATTAGTATAACCCAAGGTTTTCAGTGGCATAAAATAAACAAAACAAAAAAAACCAAGATATGCACAACAATAAAGTGAAAATGTATGTCAGGCTTTTCATACTTTTTTGAAGGCCTTTTGAAAATTACTGGAGAATCTGCAGGCCTTTCAACTCAAGTCTTTCCACACGGCTACTTCCAGGCACAGCTGCAGACTTGACTTTTCGACTGAGTGCGATGTCAGTCATTCACAACCAGTCTTTAGTCTAAGCCCAGGAAACCAGCCTCAGCTCCTAAGCCTCTCTCTCTAAACCTTTTTTTGACACAACAGCTGAGAAATCGCTCTGCATAGAGAACAGGAGATTATCCTTAAATCATAATTTTCAGTTGGCACATTATGTAAAAATCAGCATGCATGGGCACAATTGAAATGTTTTCTACCATGTACAGTAAATCACGTATATGCTATTTCATGGTAGGAGACCCCCCTACTTCAAGTATTCAATAGATAAAAACCTGAAAATGGAGGATTCATATTCCACCCCCCGATGGTGAAGTGAGAGGATTTTTGCGCCTCTGTCTGTTTTGCATTGTCTTCCCTTCTGTTTTTCTTTTTTTTTAAAGCCAGATCAGGACATTTCTCTTAACATTTGTAAACACAAACAGTGAAGTTTCACTCAATCTGTCGATTCTTGCTCAGGGAACAGGAGTTGGAAAGGTTCATGTGGGAAGGAGATATTTAAAGTTGATGCACGGATCACCTCGGTTTCTGGAAGATGGGAAGATGCAAAGACATTTATATACAACAATCACCACTTGGCCATATAAGGGAGACACACAAGCACCATGAGGGGAGGGAGAGGAAGTAGGGATAGTAACAGTCTAATTCAGTTTTCCACTATACTGTAATAATGTGTATAGGTTTTTCTACTTAATCAGCTGTCACAGTCACATACGTCACCACTTCTGTTTACGAGACAACGACGACGACAAATGTGAAAGAAATGCATCCCAACAGAGTCACTCAAACCTCCACTTAGATGTATTTAGTGATAGTCCTCACTCACAAGTGCATGTTTCTGACTGCTGAATGCAGCAGACGTAATCTCATTGCTACTTATGTGAGCTGCAAAATTCAACATTTTTATTTTCTTCCTAGTTGTTACCACAGGGCAAGTGGTCTTCAACTGAGTTGTATTCACATTTGGAAAGGAATGTAATAATGTCATCTTTTCTAGACTTCTAGATAGATTTAGATACACATCTATTTTCCATAAACTGCTCTGAAGCACTTTTTTTTTTCTTTTGGGCTGTCCTGTATTTTCAGACAGGGAATGTTACTTGCTGCTGAGGAGTTTTCTCTCAATTTACAAATCAGAGGAAAGTCACACCACTCAACACTTTAAATAAAACACCTCTCTGACCTCCAGCCAGTTAGAAAAATAACCATGAAGAAAAAACATATAGTATCTTGTCAGTTTGAAGCAATTTTCCGACCACATATAGACACACTCTATAGATTTCTCTCTATATGTATAATATATGCATATCTATCATATATGTGTACATGTTTTTATGAGGCACAGGCCACCTTGTTGAGGAGGAGAAAACAAGTCACTATGATTGGGGAGGTCACACGGACTACTGCTGAAAGAGAACAGGAGAGGGGAGCAGGAGCACACCATAGGTCAGAGACTGGGGTGTCAATGGTATAAATAGACCTGCAGGAAAAACAACTGCTGACATTGCCTCCACTTCATAATCTATAATGGTATTTATAGTAGCAGTGTTCAGAGAGGGACATCACCTCTGTGTGGGTCTTGAATTGACTGTTGTTCACAAACAACCCCGCTGTCAAATCATATGTACAAAGCAGTCTTTAACAGTTGTTTATGAAGCCCATTGTAAGAGTTAGTCCTTTTACTGTGAAAGGACCGCAAGATGCTCTTGACCAGGTCTTCTGACACCATTTAGCTCGAGCACCAGCAGAAGCACCATTAGTAAAAAGTCCTGCAACACGGAGGAGGAGGTGCATAGGTGTATAGTCTCAGTAACTCAGGATAATCTGATGAATATTGTCTGACCGCTCTCTTGGCCGCTCTGATTGGTTGGCTAATTACACTTTGACAAATCTGAGTAAAGATGGGGAAATAATGCATTCATGCTATGTTGACGTCTGCATAGATTGATTCCTTTTCTGACTACTTCTGATTAAAATGAGGTAACAAGAAGAGAAACACTGATGGCAACTGCAGCTTTGAGGCTAAAGCAAAACCCAAGAACCAGAGGGCCCTGTGCATGCAGACGTGGATACCCCCCGATGCTGCAGGCAAGGCTAAAGGCATACTATCAGTCAGCTCAAAGCTCTTCCTTTTGCCAACAAGGAATGACAACAAAAGACCTAAAATTGTTCAGCTCTGGTATGCGTGTGAGAGACATGCTAGTGAAGGGAAACTACTTTGTGTCACAGAGGGTAAATACAGCTCATTGGCATATTCGCATGAGTAAAAAAAGAGAAGAGATACACATGATAGCCAGGCAGAGGGGTCAGATGTCACCAGCTGGGTCAGCGGGGCAGTGAGGATTAAAAAAAACCATGACAGAATCAGGCAGGGAGGAGCCAACCAGAGCCAGAGGAGTCAGCCAGGCAGGTGAAACAGACAGCAAGACGACCATAATCTTGAACCAGTGGATAAAGCAAAAAATACTGGGCCGGCAGACAGTCATGAAATCTCTGCTAGGAGGATCAAGAGTGCGTTGTTGGCCTGAAGAGGTGGAGCATTCAGCAGGTGATACACAGGTAAGGTAACCTTAGTGAGACCTGAAACAGGGCTGCCATTCAAAAGTCACAGAGCCCATCGGTCTCTGCATGAACATCAGCATCTGCCTCTTTCTATCCAGTCAGTCCCATATCTGTGATCCTGTATGGTGGAAGTGTAAGAAAAGGTCCCAGGTCACCTTGAGCAGAAAATGAACAAGGACATAGGTAAGTAAGCTGCAGTTTGAAAATGTATTATAATAGCTGAATGCATTACTTTTGTATGCGTAATATGAAAGCTGTGAGATTACCTGCTCCCCACATGACCTGCACACCTGAGTGCACCCTCCTCTTCCCCAGAAAATAAACAAAAGTCCCATTGTTGATTGAGTGGAGGTAATACATGTTTGATCGGTTAGTGTTTCAACATCATGGCATGGCTGTGCTCCCCCAGTAGTGACTGAATCATCTGAATGTGAAAGACGGTGACATCCAGATGGTATTTAGTTGTTTAGTTTGTTATAAAACACAGCAGACATTATACCATAGAATTGTTAAGTAAAAAATTCTTAAACATATCTCACCCCTCCAAAACAACAATAGAGCTTTGGTTGTCACTGCAAGGATTATGCCCAAATACCCTCCTCATCATCCTGTTTTTGGCAGTGTTCCAGGCCAAGAGCAGCAATAAGCATGAAGGGAAGAAAGCAACCGATCAGAGGACATCACTGGTACAGAAGCAGTGTGACAGGCAATACACTTGTTTAAAAGTATAAGTAAGAATCAAAGAAAATATTAATGTGCACAGTGGTGGTAACAGCACTCAGAGACAATTAATATATATGATACAGGGTGGGTCACGGAAAAGTAGCCCGCCTCCAAAACAATCCACTTGCTTGGGCTACTTTTCTGTGACCCACCTGTTATTACTGGATGATAATTACTGATGCATTATTGTGTACATTACATTTAATGTTGCAGCTGGTAAATGGTTAATTTTAATTACTAATTTGAATTACTGCTGGGTGGCTGGTGAATTCCCCACTGATGTTCAACAGGATCTCATGATTATACTGTATTTTGTATAGTTATTCTAATTCTGACAAGTAACTGTAGTTGTAACTAACATTATTCCATAAATGTAGTGCAGTAAAAAGTGTAATATTTGCCTCTAAAATGCAGTGAAGTGAAAGTTTAAAGTGGCAGAAAATAAAATTACTCAAGTACAGATACCTCAAAATGGTACTCACATACAGTACTTGACTTATACAGAACTTACCTACGTACAGTACTTAGTTACTTTCCACCTCTAAATGTACAACATTGAAGTATTTTGCTAAGAGTTATGGTGCTGCTTTTGGCAAAGATTTTACAGGGCTATACTCTGAATTGTGTGTATATGCATTATCACATCAGAGAGTCTTGATGCCTACAGCGGTTTTTCCCTGACTGGGAGCTGTGGTACCCTGGGGTACCTTATGTTGGGACAATGATGCCCCAAGAGTTGTTCATTTTTTTACCTTAAATTTCTGTTAGCATATACCACATAAAAATGAGGTGATATTTACATTAGCTTCATCTTTATAATTAATTTTGAAGCAAATGAGCAAAAATCATCATATTAGGAAAACTGTTGAAAAAGCAGTTGGTGACATGACGGCAAATCTGAGTCTGAGATGATCAAATCTGTACTGGCCAAAAGAACTACAGGGGAATCTAGCTGTTGCACACAAGAAGCTTTATCTGCAAGAAAACTGCAGAATGCAGCACTATGGTTTCCAAACATTTCAGAACCACTGTTGGGCAGAAATTGTAATTTTCTGTACACCACTGAAAACACATTGCCGTGCTCTGTTATAGTGCCAACCTTTCAGTTTCTATTTCAGCTGTTGTGAACTTTATAACACAATAAATTATAACATAAATGACAAGGCAAGACATCTAACCTGGTCCATGGAGGGGCGGTGACCGGCATGTGGAGGTCCTCGGGGTGGCCCTCCACGATGATGGGGCGATGGGTGACGCGGATGCTGGGCATGGTGTGGGTGCTGTGGGTGCTGTGGGTGCTGAGGATGCTGCGGATGCGGGTGTTGGGGATGTGGTCCTTGTTGGGGAGGGCCATGCGGGTGAGGGTGCTGCAGAGGAGGAGGATGTCCATGCGGGTGCTGTGGGGGGTGCTGGGGGTGCTGTTGGTGAGGGTGTTGGGGCTGTGGGGGACGTGGGTGCTGCTGGAGTGGTGGTTGGGTGTGCTGAGGGTGCTGCATGGGGTGCTGTTGGTGGGGAGGGTGAGGGTACTGTGGCTGTGGCTGCTGGGCATGTGGGTGCTGTGGCGGGGCCTGTGGGTGCTGAGGGTGTTGTGGATGTGGGGCATGTGGATATGGAGTCTGCTGGGCATGAGGAGGGTGGGTGTACTGGGGCTGGGGTTGAGGTTGAGTGTGTGGCGGTTGAGGTTGGATGTGGTGAGGACCATGTGGATGATACTGCTCATCTTCATAGTTGTCAGCTATCAGCTTCATTCGGCTTTGTGTCTGGAGAGAGAGGAAACTGTTCAGTGTTTGTTGATCACAGCTATTAAAAGAACCTTTTTCCTACATAATGAGGAGTGGACATAAAACAAAGATATCCCACAATCTGTGCAATAAGTCTCAAGTCTGTACAGTAAATATGAAACTACAGCGGGGAGACAGGCTGACTTATCTCTGTAGTTATATATACCCAGCAATGAGGCTTATAATGTTCAGTTTTATGACAGCTGTTGATTTATCTCCTTAGTTATATTTAAGACATTGTGGTTTCATCTAGCAAAAACACCAGTAAAGGGAAAGTTAAACATTATGGGATATACACTCATATGCTTTCTTACCATTGAATATAAACACCACCCATATGTCTGTATGCTGGATACGACAGCCACAGCCCATTAGCCTGACTTAATATAAATAATAGAAAAGCGGGAAACCGTTAGTCTGGCTCTGTCTAAAGGTAATAAAATCCACCTACCAGCACCTATAAAGCCCACCAGTTAACACCATAAATATTAACACAAAAACTCACGAGTGTAAAAATGACAATTTGTTACAATGCAAACATGCTCTTCATGGCCAAGCGTTGACTTCAATGACTCTGCGCTGGTCATTCCAGTCTTTATATGCCAAGCTAAGCTAGCTGTCTCCAGGCTGTAGTTTCATGCTTACCATAGACAAATGAGACTGGTAAGGATCTTCTCAAAGCTGTTCCTTTAAATAGTCTGAGCTGACCTACAGTAATCGGCACATTCCATCTTTACCCAGTGCACTTTCACAGCATTATGTGTATGACTTTGTGATTTTTGAAAATTGAATAATAAACTTCTATTTCTATTTTACTTCTTGTTAAATGTAAAGAAATTACAAGATGTGTCACAGGAGTGACTCATGTCCTATAAAAGATAGATTCATGATATGACCCAGAAGATAAGAAAATAGCACAGTTTTAGGTTTTGTTTGAGGCCAGAAAAGATGGACAGCTGGATTGTAGTTGGCAAACGGAAACTGTTAAACTGACTTAGACTTGACTAACCTTCCAACAGATGTAACAACAGCTCTCACTCATGCTGCAAAATTATGAAATGCTACATTTAGGAAAAATGCCAAAAGGGAATTAGAAAAAAGTGGCCTTGTGTTTGTGTGTTTGTGTGTGTGTGCCATCCCTTGTAGATGAAGTAGAGGATTAAAAAAACTGCTGGCTGCATTGTGCGGCTATATTTTTCATTATGATTAACGTTGCCTTGGCAACCGGCTACAGTGCGGAGAGAGATTTCCTTGACATTGTGCTGCAGTACTAACATGTTGTTTGAGCTGGTGCATCAGTTTGTCCCGCTCCCTCTTGAGGGCCAGCACCTCCTCCTGGGTCTTCTTCTTATTGGAGGCAGATAGTTCCAGCAGTGCAATATTAGCATCTTTCTCGCTGATGGCTGCCAGCAGGGCTTGTTGTCTGATGAAGAAAAACAATATTATGGCATCAGTATGTTCTTATGGCACAGAAAGAATATTAAATAAATGGCATACATACAGTTTCATGATGGCACTTTAACTAAAAACCTATAAATCAAACTGCATCAATTCAATTTAACTGTATCAATGTTGAATACAGTTTAATTGCAAGTAAAGCTATTTCTGGTCAGGATCTAGCTATAAAGGAGCAAAATTATTATTTTCAGTGAAGTCACTCAAACATATTACTGCTCTGTTCTCATGTAAAGGATGTTGTAAATATTCTTATTTACTTTTGTGCAGAGAGTTACATGTGAAATTTGACACAAATCTACCGCTAGCAGCCGATTAGATTAAGTAACTAGTTGAAGTAATTAGTTTAATAATGCTTAATAGAGCATAGTAGAGTAAAGAGAAAGAGCACTGGGTGGAGCACAGTGGACTGAATTGCTAGTTTCATGCTAGTGCTGCCTTAAGTTGCATATTGTAGCTTTAGGAGAAGTGGAACAGTGGGTTGTCTTTATGTGGCTGACACTAACTTCATCTCCAGGATCTCCTCCAGCTGTTTCCTGCGCTCTTGTCTCATGTTGGTGAGGTGGGTGTCCCTCTCCTGCAGGGACTGCTGTGTGGAGGAGAGACGCTGCTTGGTGGCATCCAGCTCCTGCCTTGTCCTTTCCAAGGTGTTCATTAGCTCCTCCAACTGATAGTCAACAAGAGATATGTGGGAACACAAAAGAGAGACTCATTGTAGGCACATATTTTATTAGGCAATTAGTAAAAGTGGTAAATATTTCTCATGAGTGAATCCGTGCCTTTAAGTGATGACCGCTATCCATGGAGCTGTCTTTACGAAGGTCCTGACCTAAGCCTTTCTTGTCCCCTTGTGATCCCATTTTGATGTTTGGACCCTTCTTAGTCTGGTCTTTGCCTCCTTGTCTGTAAAACAACAACAACAACAAAATGAAGAGTATTTCCATGCCAATTACATTTACAAATCCAATTCTCTAGCTACAAAAATAACCATAAAACACACACAAGCAGAACAAGTACTGTAATGGACAATCATGTCAGGTGCATTTTGAATGAGACTAATTTAAAAATAGTACCACTCATGAGATCCGAGGACAGCAACAAGACATGAGCATCACAGATGAATTTATAGATTTGTGTTATTATGACAGTACTGAGATGACTTACAGGTTTGAGCATCAAAGTTACAGTAGCATGGGGATAGGAAGAAATGGGACCACAGTTGGAGGAGGGGCATAGCTTACCTGGGAGCAAGGCTGCAGATGGGATGAGGAAACATTAGAAGAGAAAGGGATAACGGGATAGGTTGGAGGAATTGGAAGGAAGAGACAAGAGCACATAGAAAAAAGTAAAAAAAAAAAAAAAAAAGAGAGAGAGAGCGACATTAGAACCAGAACATAAAGAAACAACCACAAGGACACAAAACAGAAGACCCAAAGGAAATCACAGGGTGTGTACTGCCAATCAACACTGGAGATTACAAAGGCACCTGTGACCGCCACTGCTCTGTAGCCTGACACAGCTAATGCAGGATGCACCTTCTCTGAAAATATGGAGCCATGTGCATCTGCTGCCAAGCCTGGGAGTGGCAGACATGCAGTCAGACAGGCAAAAATCAGCCGGGTAAAAAGAAGGGGGGAGGAGGACAAGTTTAGGTGCTGAGCAAAAGGAGAGGAAGCCGATGGTGTTCGTCCCAAGTGGGCGAGAAGGAACAAGCTAACGAGAGAGCTGGTTATGGATGCAGGGTCATTCAAACAGAAGAAACCCAACTGAACCGACACACTGCAGGACCGATGGTTCAGTCCAGACCCTACCAGCACCTCTCTCACTGTGTACGTATAGACCTGGAGCACAGCAGTTCTATTCATGCAGGCCACTAGGCCAATCATTTCCCTTAGTGTCTGTTAGGGGAAGCTAGGCAGGGCAGACTGAGCAGGAGAGCAGGAAGGTGGGCACCAGGAAACACACTTGAGAATAGAAAGGTTGTCAGGTGATTTTACTGGAATGATCTGAAGGTGCAAGGGTGAGTGAGAGTCACAGACAGGAAGGATGAGGCAGGATGAGGCAGGCAGATGGCTGGCTGGAATGAGCGTGGGAAGCGTGCTCATGGCCTCAGCTTTTACTACATACAGTGAGCTACAACAAACAGCCAAAGAAAACACCACAGAAAGACACAAAAACTCGCATGTGTGTGTAATTTATATTGATATTTCAACAAAGAACATAAAGAGGTATATTTTATACAGTATAATAAACTGAAAATGAATGACAGAAGCAAGAGCAGCTGGGGAAAATCACACCAAGTTCTACATATTATTAAGTCTACTAATAATACTAATAACACAGTACACCATGTAGTATTTCCAGTTTTAAATACTTATATACAAGTGTAAAATTTGACAGGGGCTTTCAATTACAACTGCAAAACCTTTCTGGTGTAAAATGTAAAATTTGGAAGCATGTCGGTGGAATCTTTGGTGTGATTGGCTTTACTAGGTTACCTTAACATGCATCATTACGGAGACAGGCCACACCATGAACAACAGTGTGAAGTGATGCTCGCTGTTCAGGGAGTCAAAGGAATATAATGGAATATATGCCATATATTTATGTGACATATTTCAAACTGTGTGAGCTGATGTTTTGCACTTACACATTAAATGAGCTAAAGGCCTTAAACTTTAAAGACTGCCCATCATAGTGGATTTTAATACTGAGTCACATGCAGTATGAGTCACATCTGTACAATACATCATTCTTTAATTAGCTGATTTGCCTTTGACTTGTTGTACTACTAAATTTTTGTTGACAATTCACAATGGCTGTTAATGCTGCTTGTCACATGCGGTTTGAACGAACAAACAATGCAGCTGTCTCTTTCTCTCTCTCTCACACACACATACACACACACACACACACACACACAGTCACATGCTCACACAGACTGATCAAAAACCATTCATGGCACTGTACACATTCAGTTAATCACTAAGCAATCACATGCTAAAGAAATAAAAACAAACATGAATCCAGGCAGCTTTGTATCATGTACACAGGTAAACAGTGATAATAGCGCAGATGACAAACTGAGTGTGTTGCTCTGATACAAAGATCTGTGGATCTTTCAGACAGCAGGCAAACCCAGGCACACGTGTGAAACCGGATGCAGTTGCAGCAGTCGGAGACCACACAGCCGAGCTGAAGTGCCAGGGCAGAGCACTCACTTTCCCAGGAAATCCCACACCATGCCCCCTATCTGCTGGGGAGCAGCGGACACAGAAGGGAGCGGGTCAGGGGGAGCTCTGCCACCGGGACGAGGGATGGGGCGAGGGGCAGAGGGAGGGGGGCTGGTGTCAGAGGGACACAACAGAGAAAGAGTTGCAAGGAAAATGGAAAGAGATTAAAAAAAACAGAATGGGATTTGAAAAAGGAAAAAAAAAGAAGTTCAAGGCCGTGGTCGAGAGTGATCAATGGCAGGGGTTAAAAAAGGGACAAGTGGGCATGGAACACAAAACAGAAACAGGGAACAAGGCAAAAGAAATGGGTAAAGGTGGTAAAAAAAAAAAGGACAAAAACACTCAATTAATTAACACCACTAACAAATCAGCATGACACCGAAACAAAGTGGCCCCTGTCACTGGCTGGGGAGGAAACGTGTACTGGGGGGGGGGTCCTTCTCAGAAAGACTTGACCCAAACCAAAGCCAAAAGCTATGTCCAGTGTGGAGACTTTGGGCCACACTGAGAGGTGACCGAGGGCCGGAGGGGCACCAGTTTTATCTGTGTGGTTAACTCTTCCATTAAGGGGGTGACTGAGTGGCATTTTGTGCTGCAATATCCCACTTATCCCAGTTGTGCCTTTTACAAATACACAACTTTTACAAGCCTGTCTTCCTGTCAAGTTTGAATGCAGTTACTGTAAGACGCCAAAGCTTCCATCGAATGAACTGAAACGAATAGCGCACAAATACACTTATTTCAGCTTTATGTCACTACAGGATAACAAACAAATGAGGCAAAAAAATGAGTCATTACATCAGTAAGCTGAACGCAAGAAATATTTTATGAAAGTTCAACGTGTTCCCTCATGTACAGCTTTTATTCCTCTGTCGGTGAACGTCTGCTATTTCCTGCTGGTTTCATTTTCTCTGTCCTCTTTGCCCTGCTGTCAAAATCCCCACATTCACAATTTGGATATCACCATACTTGACCGATGATCCTTGTGCCACTGTTCCCCAAGCCAATCACTGTCTGGTTGCTGTTTTTAACTGTCTCTTCTATTCCTATTCCCCAACCCGCGTCCTTCCCATCCCCACCTTGACCTGCAGTACTTCCAGGGAGCCTCACTTATATGTTTCCATCATTCACCTGCTGAGTCTACTCAATAAATAGTGACATACATTTCCAACTAATTTCTCCATATTGAACTAACATCTCTAGACAGTCAGAATTAGTTACCTTTCCAACTCTGCGATTTTCTTGTCCTTGTCATTCTTTTCGGTCTCTACCTCCCGCAGGATGTCCAGCAGCCTCTCCACCTCTGCCTGAGCCTTGCTGGCCTCATCCTTGTAGTAGCTCACCTCCTTCTCCAGCAGCTTCACTCGGTCCACGTAGTCTGGGTTCCCTCTGGAGCCTGACTGCTGCTCCACCTCGTGGGCCTTCTGCATCCACACACCAGGGAAAAACACATACAAACACGCATACCCGTACACACCCGAAGGTAACTTCAGTTAATATGATTGTCAACACAACCGTGCAGTACAGCAAAGAACATTTCTGCCTGTGGAGGAGAGATACATTCAGCACACTGTAGTCCATCAGTGTCTGAGATTAACTACTCCCTCTGCTCTCTCCCTCTGTTTCTGAATGACTAAAGTAGAGTAAAATGTTGTGGACAAGGGCATCATTACTGGTGCTGGCTCATTAGCTTTAACAGAGCTATTATTTAGCTCCATTTAACAGCCCTCTGAGACTCCCAGTCAGTTTGCACACTTGCAGAATACTGGACTGTGTATGTGTGCTTTTGTGTGTGTCATGTTTATACAGCACTTTATGAAGCAAAAATTAGTGACAAATCATTGGCAGTAAAATGCTAAATCATTCATTGCTAAATCAATCATAATTCTGTTTCATTGGTTATGTGTCACAAACTAATTAAAGCGCTGCTGTTTGGTCAATACTAATCTCGCCGTTATTACAACAGTCTGTTACTCTCCATGAATTACATTACACTGGCACACAACACCCTCAAGACAATATGCAGCCACACATGTCAACACAGGTCACACAAGTGCAAGAGAATACAGAGCCATCCAGCAAAACACTGCGGTGACCTCCAACCATAGCTTCACCTAAGCTGAACGCACCACACTGTGACAAAAGAGAAGCGCGACAGTGACGACATGCAACAGGGTCGACCAAATCATGCAAACCCAATGAAGCTGCACGGTATTTGCAATTGTCTGTCAAAAGAATGGTGGAATAGAAACAACAGGGACCAAGTCGACAGTACGTTTCTTATTTTAAGCATGAGGAGCAATGTTTAGGCTGCCTGGTGGGAGAATATTCTCATTGAATTGATTATGAAATGTTCATAAAATCATTTTGCAACCACTAGTCATTCTAGAAGTATACTAAAATATTTACGAGAGAATTTAATTAGACATACAAATTAAAATCGATACAGTCAGTGGATTTAAGGAACAACCAGTTACCTCAAGAAATTAAAGCTTAACCTGTTTTGCACCAAAGGTTTTTCTAAGCTCCACAAAAATGTGTTTCAGTGACACGTGTGACAAAATGTCAGTGTTTGGTATCAGTGCATCCCTACAGTGTAAAAAATGTTCCTGTTTATTTTACAGATTGTTCCTGTATTTCTAACATACAACAAAAAATATGCTGTGAAATTCTATGTCAAAATTAAAATAACATGTAAAACCTCTAGCTGTGAATTACCATAAAGTTCTCTTTTTTTTTATTTCTTTTTTTCACATAAAAACACAAATTCATAATAATTTTATAAACATCTACCTTTTATGGTTTCACAATTTGAAATAGCAGACTTCCCAGCATGCATTGTGTGACAATTAAAACTCTAGTTACTCATTTTTCCAGTTTGACAAACCGATTCATGGTGGAAAATTACTGTGTCTGTAATCCATATTAAACTAAGTCTAGGCCAGTATTTTTCAAAAAAAAAAAAAAAACCATGATGAAGGGTAATATTGAATTCAGTGTCTACCCTCATATATGACTGGAAATAGTTCTGTATCTTGTCGTACCTCCTTGGTTTAAAATGACTTCAATGACTGCAGCTCAAATGAATGCCAAATGAACTTTTGAGAAACTAAAATGAATATTCACTAATAGCACTTCATATATATATGTCAATATATTTAAAATGATCTGTTTTATCATTTTTAAAAAGGAAAAGTTCCTGGGCTTTAAAGGTTAGAGCCTTTTATTTAACATGAAAAAACTGTCAAATGCACAAATTTTATTTAAAAAATTATGGGAAATTACTGTATCTTTAGAAGATGGTTTATTTTCTGTCCCAGCTGCCACAATATTGCTGTTTATTTACATGTATTTTTTAAGACTGTAGAAACATACGTATACAGACATCCTAAAATTAAACACAACCAAAATCATTTCATCTTCAAATAATATTCAGTAACAAATAAATATTCGGGCAAAGTTTATTTTCATAGTTCAACAACCATAAGGCCAATTTAGTTTTTTTTTTAAATCCAAGGTTGTAGGTGTCAGAACATACAAGGGCTTAACTCCAGACCATGTCCTTTCACTTCCATTGAATTCTCTGTCTGAGTAGACTTTCTGAAGAAGCTGCTGCTTGATAAACATTTGGGTCTTAGAAACCTGAGCTGTAAGATGCATTTCCCAATATACTCGCATTACAGATGGGCTCTGTTTGGTGTCAGTATAAGCTCTGGGATTTCCTAATGGCCTCCATTTTCCCTGATGTGGGTCTAGTGACTGAAAGTTTAGAACTGCAGAGAGCCGCCTTCTCTCTAATGTGAAGGAATAAGACAATCCCACCGTAGTTAAGATACTATAACTACAGAACCATAATTTAAAAAGTTACTGTACACTGTACTGTATATTCTGCATGTTTGAAATTCCAACAAACCAAAGTGAACTTTTAAATACTATATATGTAGCACCAGGTTCACTATGTGTCACAAACACAAATACTTGCAGAATGAGTACAGTACATTTCACAGGACGCCGGGTGCAGTATTAAGCTCATTATATCAGTACAGTGCAACGGTCAACATGCATCTGGGTGAGTCCGTGGGTAAAAGCAGAACCCGTGCCAGGGTCTGGCATGATCACCATCTAGCATATTTCAAAGAAGTTATCAGTGTCCTCATGCTTTCAGTATGTGCCTCGGAGGGCTCAGGAGATGGACTTACAGGATTGTTCATGTGACTGAATAGCTGCTCAGCTTGCTACATTGCAAACGGAAGGGTTGAGGGAAGAAGCGGAAGGGAAGGGGGGAAACCCGGGAGAGTGAGTGTTAGGCTTTGGTTTGAGGCAAAGGAGAGAACAGCAGGATCAGACATGTTACAATACATGTTTGACAGATCAGTAACATCAGTAACAGCACAAGTTGTTACAGGTTCAGGGCAACACAAACACAGACAAATGCAGTCGAACAGACATGGAGCTAGTCTGTACACTATGACGAGGAGGAGACGGGAGGTATTTAATAGACTGTACACTCCCTGCAGCGGCCTAACAAGTCAACAGGCTTTTACAGGAAAGAAAGCATGGTGGTAGCTTTTATCTTAATGAACTGTGTTTTACATAAGGCATGTTTTTGTTCCTGGTTAAATCTGGATTATATTCATAATGGCAAAACCTTTGCTCTTTCAAACAAGGGATAATGAATAATGACATATAGTATATTGCAGTGGTCACCTTGATATTTATGAGCAAGGAAAACTCAGTGAACCTATATAAAAGCAAACTTATTAGAATATAAGGAATAATTCATTCATTTAACTCTTTAAATACTTATTAGTTTCTATTCATATGGTCCCTGGGATAACAGTGAGGCAATTCTTTTATTCACGGTGGACACGTTGCTCTGGCTGTTTATCTACCGTTCAGTACAGTTAATAAGGGACATGTTCACAGTCTTCACTGAGAGCAGAGGAGATCTCCACAGTTCAGCCAAAGCTGAAGCTTTTACCATAACAACTCTAGTCATTAGTAAAAAAAAAAAAAAAAAAATTAAAAAAATTACGGTGGTGATAAAACAATTTCCTGAAATGTATCTTTGGAAATTAGTGATTTGTATGTCCTTTCCCTCACAACAACAAAATATAAATTTGTGGCTGAAGGTTAATGCGTGACTTTAAAGCAGTGGTTGACAAAACAATCTCACCGCACAGTCCATGTAGTAGCTGCTCTGGAGCTTTCAGTCAAATCATGTGACCTTCTTTAGCAGACTGAGCTGCAAGGAATTGTACGTGCTTGAATGTAGCTTTTAGATGTAGACAGCTACGACATAAAGCTCATAGTGAAATTGTTTTGCCAAGAGCTGTAAATTTGTATGTACATGTATCAGACTTAAAAAGCTCTAAGTCGCTACTTGAGTTGATTGTTATATGTAATATTGTACATTCTTTCTGTAAAGTGTGCGAACAGTTACTGTATAGAAGACTCCTATTGTACATCTAAATATTAGATAATAAACTAAATGGTACTTTTATGTGTGGATTTGCACTGTAAGATGCAAACCTACCTTCTGCAACTGCGTCTCCAACTTACTACACTCCTCTTTCTTCTGCTCGATGGCGATCTCCAGTGATTTGAGCTTTGAATCCTTCTTGAGGCCTGAAGACGCCAGGGATGAAGCATGTTCCTTCAGATCGATGAGACTGGACTGCAGATGGACAGACAGCACCACGAG